TCCTGGAGAACGAAGAGCATCATGATGCAAAACATTTTAAAACTCTGCACATAATAATAGATGAAGTAATTCTCATCAATTCCCTACCATAAAACGACCAACATAACAAAAGCTCTGCAATCAGTGCTAGACAAAGAAACTACTATCAACCTCTACCATAAAATAAACAAGATGTGACGATAACCAGAGTAGATAACTAATAATGCTTCCCAAAATCTAAAGAAACAGACACTAATAATGCTTCCCAAAATCTAAAGAAACAGACACTAAACCAAAAGCTGATCAAAAGTAACCTCTTGAAACAAACAAACTAGATTCAAGTTAAAAAAAAAACACTAGTAAAAATCAGAAAACAAACAGATAATAGAAATCCCAACAACCCTATCCTCAAGCAAAATCAGTGGTTATGATGCAATAAACTTCAACAAAAGTAAAAACATCAGAAAGGCTCGATACAACAGCTCCATGATGCAAGCAACACGCACAAAAGTAAAAATATCAGAAGGGCTCAATACAACAGCTCCACGTTGTGAGCAAGACGCATGCATATTTTCCTCGTAACACAAGCCAAGAAAGAGGCCTTCTTCATGAAACACTAGCCAAATATCATGAAGCAAAAAATTCATAATAGAACTCTGCAAACAATGATAAGATGAAGTAATTCCCTTGAATCTCTACCATCAAACAACCAAAAACGTAAGAAGAGCCATTACTAATGTTGTAGAGATACTAAGCATAAGTTGTTTAATCTCTCCAAACAAACAACCAAACAAGAATGAAGTTCAAGGTTTAGGCCAAAACAAACAGATGACTCAAACTACACTGCTCTCAAGCAAAATCTTTGGTTTGGTTATGAAACTAAACTCCTCATCTACATGAAGAGATTGGGGCGAGTAGCCTTAAAGGTAGTCTTAAGCTTTCTCGTCGGTGGCCTCACTTTCTTGTAGACGAGAGGAAACTTGATCTTCGAGTCATGGAACTGCTTGGTACTCTCACGCTTGCAAAGCTTGGCAGGGATTGTCGCAGTCTTGATGATCTGGATGCAGGGAAACCTGACCCTGTGACGAGACGCCATCTCGGTGTACATCTGCTCCACAGCACCGTTCAGTGTGGTGTCTCTGTACTCCTTATACATGTTGTGGTAGCCGGTCCTGCTCTGGTACCTAAGCCAGATTCCGTAGTTGTGGATCTTGGTAGGATTCTTCTCGAATATCTACACCACAAAGAGATTTTACCGGTTAGTACTGTGATGATAATTATTCCCAAAAATTCAGTGTCAGGCAAGAAACACTATCAAACTGCTTTATAAGTTATGGCCCAGGCCTTTCACAAATTTTTAAAAAAAAAGAAAAGAGAGAAAAGAAAACCAAAAAAGAAAGAAAAAGCAGATGTGAAGAGATAAAGGAGGGTCATTTAGGACATGGAAAGTCTTAAGAATGGGAGTATTGCTAGATCGGGAACACATTGATCTTAGCAAGCGCAATGAAGAATACACTATCACATCGATATTCTCATAAGCTATTAGAAGGCAAGTTGCATCCAATCATATGATTCGAACATAAAAGATTCACATGGTATTGAATAGCGAAAAGGGTAAGATGTTGGTAGAGAAAAGGAAATATTAACTAATCATACTATTCCTAATATTAACTCACCATCAACTCCTTCAACTATTGTTTACAGACCTAATTCATAATCCACCAAGTGGAAGCAAAACTAAATCACAGAAGACCATGGGGAATCAAACTTAATAAAAGGATATGCAGCGCTGCAGATTTAGCCCCTCTTATGATACATTTAGGTTTCCAAGGAATATCAATTTTCTCAAACTTAAGTTAACTACAACAAGAACAACAAAAAAGAATGGGATTCATGACCTAATCCCACCTACGACTATGAACTACATGACTGAAACCCCGAAGTTCACTTTTTTTTCTCATGGGGTGCACATTCAGAAAACAAACAATTTCTTTCAACTTTCCAAATTGTGGAAATTCAAATCATCCATTAACCTTCCCTGGGAACCATAGTCTTAAAGACTTCCCAGCAGCAAAAACTAGAGAAATCTGCCTATATCAGATGTCACCCAAACAAATAACAATAGCACTTATTGAGTGCATATCACGTACTGATGCCTGCCATTTTGACCATTTCTATTACTAAGTAAAAATAATTTCTTGAATAGGACTTAATTAGAAACAGCACATAAATTACCTGGATGCGAGGAAAACCATGGAGAGAAATAACAGCTCTGATTGCTAACAAGATACATGACCAGACATTAAACAAGACCAATTTTCATAAAAAGAATTCAGTTCTTCATTGCATACACAATCTTAACTACACAAAGGTTCAGGGAAAAAGAACAAAAGAACGACAACAACATCAGAGCCTGTGATAGTCAAGAGAAAAACTGTAATGTAACCTATGATTCATAGAGAAGATGCAAGTGCCAAACTCCTATGAGGACTTGTCAGATACAGCAATTGTTGAAAATCTAGGCACAAGAATAAATCAATTTAGGTTTACTTACCTTCCAAGTACATTCACCCATTAATATTGCATCTATTCATTTAAAAGAACCTGACTAGTCAAAATTACTTGTAAACAATTAGATGTTGTTTGAGAAGTGATAATACTTCATCCCATACATGTTCAAGGCAATTGCTACATACTTGCAAGTGCTAGACACAGATGGACAAAGTACTGTCAGGATGTCGAGCATTGGCAATTTTTGGTCATGACAAATGCTCTACATGCACCATAAAATTCAGTACGAGCAACGATAATGAAAAAATAACAAGCCACGACATGCTATACTTATAAATAAATAACAACGTCAAGGTAGTGAGGTGCAATTACTCTTTCTCAGAAGTAATAATAAATGAGAACTTCCGAGATAAGAGGAGCCCTAAAATACAATGGTACCTTATTTTAACCTTAAGTCACAACATTTTAACGTAAACGGTTGGAGAACAATTTTTACGGATATTGCCATATTGGTCTAGACGACTGCAGCGTTTACAAACAAAATGCTACAACATTAATCCTACAGATAAATACTATTAGCAAGTGCACTATACCACTGAGAAATTTTAATACCAAGAGGATTTCTCTTTCATAATAAATATCCAACTCTAAACGTAAAACCTTTCTAAACCTAATCACTGGAGACGACAAACATGGTAATCTAATGACTGATTCAAATATTATGATAAAATCAACATATATTTCTGCTTAACATGCAGATCCAACTACGGAGAAAGATATTACGTCATTTTAACTAAATCTAATAAAGGAAGAACAAATCGAACCTCGTTGATGGCAAGAACTTGACCATTGCTCTTCTTAACCTTCTTCAACTTCCTCAAAAAATACCTAGAAAATTTCCCCCAAACCAATCAAAACCCCAAATAAAAAAATAAAACTAAAAAACTAAAAAATTTACAAAACGAGGACTAAAAACAAACAATTACCAAAACTTGGACTTGGCACGAACTTCATTAGTAGCCCACAACTTCATGCGAAAATCTTCGGGTGTTCATCGAGGGAGTCGGAAGCAGCTCTGACCCTGCCCACCACCTGGTACTGATGGAACTGCGAAAGAAAAACCCCAAACAAATCAAAAAATGCAGATTCAGAACATGGAAACTGCAAAAGATCGGATTTTTATCTCACCCTGAAACCTCCCATTGATCGTCGCCTTCGCCTTCGAAACGATCTGAGGAGAGGAGAGAACGAGAGACGGCGGCGGGAGATGAAACCCTAGGGCTAATAAAGGTTGAGGTTTTATGGGGTTTGGACTGTTTCGACCCTCGAATTGGGATGAAATTACGATAGACGAGTTAGTCTTGGGCTGAATGCTGGGCTTGGGCTATAAGAATTTCTTTCCAAGGCTCGTAGTCTAGTAATATCTTAGGCCTTTAATGGAGCCACGGAACAAGGAGGGATAAGACCATCTCCGGCTTCACCATAATTTCTCTAAAATGGGGAAGCAAAATGCTAAATTCTCTAAAATATTTTTGCTTTAAATCCAACAGTTTTCTCATTTTAGGGATTTAGGTATTTATTACAACTATAAAACATCCTACATACTCAATAATAATTAAGAAAATAAATGTTTAATAATTTATTATAAAATCAATAAAGTATTAGATATATATTTTTTCTTCTTTGGAGAATGTGAGATATTTATGATAATGTTACTTTTAAGAATTTGGAGAATGAAAAAATTTTGCAGAATGCTGCAGATTTGGGGAAAGACCCTCTTTTTTTCTTCTTCATCCCTATTTTAGGGAATGAGATGGGGAAATTGTTAGACCTAAAAAATAGCTCTATATTCCTTAAAATTGAGTATTTTAAGAAGATGAGGAAGCTGTTGGAGATGCTCTAAATTTATTATCAGTAAAAACAAAAATTTATGTTCTCCATATCGTAAAATAGGAGGATTTGACGCTTGTTCTTCAGCACAAATCTAAAGATGGTCTGGCAACCCTTTTTTTGTTGTTGAGGTAAGAAGGCAAGAGGTGTGAACATGGTCCAAGATAGAAAATATACTTCTTCTTTTTTTAGGTAAGAAATGTTTTGCCATTTTCTGGCCATATCTTAGTTAAATTTGAGTCTCTAAGCGTTAAATTTGAGTCTCTAAGCTGGTTTTGTTGTGAACCATAAGGGCTTGGTCCCAAACAAAACTATTTTTAGTTAGAACAAATTTAAGCATCAAACCTGGCTTGTTTTAAGTTTGAGTTGTCAAACAATCATCTAAAGTCAAGTCTTGGCTAGAAGCCTAGAACACATGTCATGCGATGCTTTATCGAATAACAACTTTAAAATTCGTGTTGGAACGCATATGACTTACGAGCTACTCCTATGTGATTTTTCAAGGGTGGCTCCCTAGAAAATTTTTCCAGTTTTCATTCAGATCACTTAAAATTTTACTCTCTTATTTGACTGGCTGGTGCTCAGGAAGTATTTTTCCTAGCAAATATAGACTTTACACATGCATTTTATGCGTTGATTAAGGTTATAGCTCATATGCTTTTGTGATATGTTAAATATGTAGTACCATTTATGGCAACTTTTAATAAATTTTGTAAAATATGTATACATTTGCCCAGTTGGCTTCATGCCCTATTCCATTAATGAATACTACATATTGGCGAAGGAAAATGCATCTTTAAAACAATATGCCCAAGTTGAATGATATAGATCTGCTTAAGGATAAATCTTCAATTATTCATATATAGTGTATATGGTATATGCACGACTCCATGTATGGTTCATGTACCTCACCAGTCCTCTAAACTTTTTTTACATCTACCTATTTATACCCCTATTTTTCCAATGTGCAACCAAGAAAATTAAGACGAGAGACAACTTGGGAAAAAATTACTGTGCTGAGGTGATATTCTTTTACAATTTCTTCCTTCCTCCTCATTTTATGTCTATGTATTATACTATTTGAAACTTCTCTTGAGGCAAAAGCTGAAAATTAATATTTACATGCTTTATATTACATCAGAAAAAGGCGTATTGTGGAGGGTGGAAATCGGAACAAGAATGCAGTGGAACCATATCACCTTTTGTCCCTGCTGTGAAATTGATAGAAAAACTAGAGGACTCTCTCTGTCGGATGAAGGCTCCTGTCCATCCGGGTCGGCCCGGTCCGGCCCGGAAATCCGGGCCCGGGTCAGACAAAACCGGTGCCCGGACCCGGGTACCCCGGAAAGGGTCCGGGTCCGGGTCCGGGCCCGGGCCCGGGCCCAACCGGGCCGGATTCCGAACCAGCCCGGATTATTTTTTTTAAATTTTTTATCAAAATTTTTAAATTTTATTTAAATTATAAAAAAAGACAAAAAAATAATAAAAATAATAATTTTATTAATCACTTAAAATGACATAAATTACAAATAAAAAATTATAAAAGTAAATTCTTTATTAATAATTAATAAATTATTTATAAATTACAAGTATTAATTTATTTTTGAATTCGTCACATCACAATAGATAAGTACATCCCAACTAGGTTTCTTTAAATTTTTTCCTTTTCTTTTTTTTAATTAAAAAATGCTAAAAATTAGTTTAATATTATTATATTTTATATAATTATGTATTAGTATATATTTATAAATTATTATATAACTATATATTATATATATACTTATATAAGAGAGAGTATACTTATATATACTTATATACTAAGAGAGAGTATATATATACACACATGACATATTATACATATATAGAACTATATTATATATACATATATTATACATATATAAAAATATATTATATATACATATATTATACATATTATATATATTTATATATACATATATTATACATATATAATATAATACATATAAAAAATAAAAATAAAAAAATAAAAAAATCAATTCGGGCTGGGCACCAAAGAGCCGGCCCGGCCCCGGCCCGGAGCCCGGACTTGGCCCGGGTTTCCGGGCCGACGGGCTTTTTGGACACCCCTAGATGAAGCTATATGCTCTATCAAAAATATTCTGAAACGTTTGGGGTAAAATAAAATAAAATTTAACAATTTTAATATTGTATCCTATATATTTCCTTTGAGATGCAAAAATGCCATAAAAATATATGTTGTGCAGAAAGAGAAAATTACTCGTGTTGAGATGGCAGCTCTTATAAGGGAGGCGGTAAAAGACGATGATTTGTTAATTTCAAACATTAAAGCATACAATAAGGAGGTACAAATTTGCTTGCATCTTGCTTGAAAGTTTCACATTCATGAGAGACATGTGAAAACGACGAAGGAATTGAGGAAAAAAATTAAGAAAAACGTGAAAAATAAACAAGACAGACTCCACCACATCCTGGTGTGGTGTCTGCCACACCCAGGTGACAGGGTGTGGTAGAATCTGCCATGTCTGTCATAGGTGTGCTGTCTGTCACATCCTGGTGTGACAGAATCTACCTTGTTTGTCTAGGTGTGATGTCTGCCACACCCTAGCAGACTCGTTTTTAGAATTCTAATTTGTTTAAGATTGTGTTTTATTATAAATAGAGCCACATTTTTTAGGGTTTTCTATCGATTGATTGGGTAGCTTAAAGGTGATTTTGAGCACAGAAAAGAAAAATCTTTCTGAGCAATTTGTTTGAGGGTTTAGTTTGAGAGATTTGAGAGGTAAGTTGAGTGATCCTGTAATCTCTACTTTGTACTCTCTTTCTCTATAATGGAAACACATTCCTTTTTTGCCTTGTGGACGTAGGCAATCTGTCGAACCACGTTAAACCTTTTGTGTTTGAGTTTGTATCATTATTGTTTGATTTGAGTTGCCTTCTCTCTCTCGATGTTTGTGTTTGTTCCGTCGCGCACAACAAGTGGTATTAAAGCTCAGGTTACGCATGGTCTATTTGGAGGAGTAGATCACTTTGGAAGTAGAGTTAAAGGTGGAATCTTTTTTGGTAAAAATTCTATTGTTTTCTCAGTTTTGGATCTATTCTTCATTTTTTCCACTTTGGTTGTTGGTGCTTTGAGGAATTATGGGTGGGGAAGAAGGAGTTGTGAGAGGGTACTTCAGGTGTGAAGATCGTCCAAAGTTTGAATATTCACTCTATAAAGATAGACGTGGAGAAGTTTAATGGTACTAACAATTTTAGACTTTGACGATGTGAAGTCTTGGATGCGCTCAACGCGCAAAATTTGAAAGATACTTTGGAATTGGATGGCAAGCCAGATGATATTGATGAGAGGGTTTGGAAGAAGATGAATCGAACGACATATGGTGTGATTAGGTCTTGTTTGACTCAAGATTTAAAGTATGATGTGATCAATGAGACTTCAGCTAAGAAGATTTGGGAGATCCTTGAGAGTAAGTATTTGACCAAGAGTGTAGAGAATCGCTTGCATTTAAAAAGGAGGATTTATCGCTTCCAATTGAAGAAAGGAACCTCCATTGGTGATCACATGAACCACTACACGAAACTTCTTGAGGATTTGGCGAATGTAGATGTTATGATAGAAGATGATGACAATGCATTGTTGTTGTTACGTTCCTTGTCTGATGAGGAATATGAGACTTTCGTCCTTACTCTTATCAATGGGAAGACATCTCTTTCGTATAGTGAGGTCACCGCTGCACTTGTGAACTATCAGCTTCGAAAGAAAGATAAGTAGTCTACAAGTGACACGGTAGCGGAGAAGTTGGTCGTAAGAGGAAAGAATCCAAACCGAAAGAATTAGAAGTCACGGTCTAAAGTAGGGTGTCCTACAGTTAGAAAAGACCAGTGTGCTTGGTGCAAGGAGATTGGTCATTAGAAGAAAAATTGTCCAAAGTTTGACGAATGGATGAAGAATAAGCAGAAGGAAAAAGGGAAGCAACCATCATCAGAAGCAAACATCATTATATTGGATGGTAATATTTCTGATACTTCTATTTATCCGTTTTCTATCAGTCCTACAGGTAGCTATTCAGAAGAATCTGAGTGGATATTGGATAGTGATGTGACCTATCATGTGTGCCCTAGAAAGGAATGGTTCTCCAGATTTGAGAAGTTGGATAGTGGTGTATTATACATGGGTGACAACCGTGCATGTCAGATCCTTGGGATAGAAAGAGTTCGCATCAATATGTTTGACGGGACAGTTAGAGAGTTATATGGTGTGAGATATATTCCTTCCTTGAGGAAGAACTTGATCTCAATTGGAGCTTTGGTTGGAGAGGGTCTGAAGGTTCATGTTAAGGACATGGTTCTCGAGATTATGGAAGACTCTTTGATTGTGATGAAGGACGTTAGGAGGAATAACATGTACTATTTGA